AAGACCCAAGTTTTTCCCAGACGGCACGCAGCTGCATGCTGCAGGTAACTCTAGACGATCCCCAGTTCTGATCGTACTGTTGTGCGTTATACCTTGGCCTCTTATTCGAACGATCATTCTCTAGATGGTCCAATTCCAACTCCAATTCCTTTAACACTTATATTGTGATTATTATTAGACTGTTTTTCCCTTGTACTCCTCACTAAGTCCATTTGGACTTACTCCTCCTTTATTTTCTTTCTTATTCTCAGTAACAGGTGCATTAGTGGACGGTTATGTTGATGGCTCTTAAGAGTAGAAGTTATTCAGATATTTTAGAGAGTTTAATCTAGTGTTGTGTTTAAGAATGATTGTAATTCGAGAACTATGAATACGAGATTAGTTGTGGCATTTGGTTGTCACGTGTATTTGATTTTAATGTTGAGTAGTTAAGTTGAAGTTGTTGTATTGATTCGTAGTCATTGTATTCATTTATGAACAAAAAAAAGTACAGTGTATTTCGATAGTGGACGTCACAGGTGGTATCAGAGCTTGGGTTGGGTACCCGAGCGATGCTGGATATAGATCCTTGGAAATTGTAGAATCTTAGACTTTAAAGGTTGGGTTTAGTCTCTTGGATGTTAGAGAGTTCTGAATTTAAGTTTGAAATTGAGGTTATTAACGGTATATCTGCCTATGATAATAAGTCAACATTCAGTATTAGAGGTATTGAGAATGTATTTTGGCGTCTATTATCGAAATAAATAGAGAGAAATATTCCATATTAATGTCCGACCCTCAATCCTAGGTCACGGCATGTTATTTGGACTCGGTTTATCGTGTTTGTTCGAGGTTTAAATGGACTTTGCAAGCACAAAAGTTAATTCTAGCGGAAAGAGAACGGTCCATTCAAGAATGGCAAGTTGTTCGTGTCTCTATTTTCAACGCAACTATTGACGAAATCAACAAGAATTCAGAAGAAAGACTAGTAATTCCTGGTGTGTTTACTCAATAAATCTAAGGATAGGATAGACGGCAAGAGATATCCATGATAGGTGCTTCTCCACAAACGAATTGATCCCGAATTCATAATATTTGAGTTAGTTTAATCGAGACTCTTATCTATTTTCCTATAGATATTTGATGTTCTTGGTTTTTTTGGTCACATCATATTGCTATTATTGATCACAAGTGAGGTTTCTTAACCCGTTTGAATATTCTATGGTTTGTCTTATCCATTTTCCGAGACTCTATTTTATTCTTCTACCATCCACTTTTGTGTACCAGCTTTCTGAGGTTCTTATTTCATTCGAAATTGATTCAACTCTTATGAGATTTCTAATCTCGTTTCGATTCGTATATCCCTTTCGTCAAACTTCTCATTCATTTGAGTACTATTTCACTTGATTTGGCTTACCTTAATCTCGTTTTCATTTATAATCTAGAGTGAGCCAAACGCTTGAGCCAAATGCATGAGAGTTCATATACTCGATTCTTTCATCATTTTATTGAATCCGATTTCGTTCCATTGCTCTATGTGGAATATTATGGCATAAGAGAACCATATTCTCTTAGATTAAACTCTTATGAGATTTCTATTCTCATTCGTTTCGATTACACTCTTGTGAAATTCCTTATCTCTTTTAAATTTGGTTATACCTTTTGTTAGATTTCTCATTTCTTTGAGAACTTTATCACTCGACTCGGCTCACCTGAATCTTGTTTTCATTCTTGCTCAATGATGAGCCAAATTTGCCGCACGTTCCTCTATTCAATTCTTTTATCATTGAATATGATTTTGCTTCTTTGCTATGTGCAAAATCTTTTGTTCTAGTGCGAGTAACTCCACATTTATTCTCCCTCTCGCATTGATTATGCATAAGATGATGTACAATTTAAACTTCATCGTTGATCATGGTTGATTCTTCTATTCTAGTTTCAATATCTTATGTTCTTGGTTATCAACTTTTCTTGAGATTTTCAATTCTCGAATATCTCATCCCTATTATTGATCACGAGTGAGATTCCTCATCTCGCTTAAATACATCATGATTTTAATTCCATATTATTCACGGTCTCTCATTTCTTTGAACACCTTATGATTTGACTTTCCTATGTTGCTTCGTATTATTCCAGTTCTATTGTCAATCATGACCATTAATGATTGGTCATAATTCAGTGCACAAATTTTGACATTCCTTTTGACTAGCACCTATTCAGATTTTGCGGTTTTCACCTTGAATTGTTTTGCTGAATATCCTATGATATTGAGTTTCATGCTCCACGTATCCTTTCAAAGCTTGTTATCCTTTGTTTTATATTCTTGACTTGACCACAGGAAGTGTTTGTGTAGTCATCATGATTTCGAAAGTCGATAGAGTTTGTTTACTCTTGAGATATTCTAAGATTTTCGAAATTATTTTACTTGCAAGCATCATCGTCATTTGCTAATAAGTCCTCCTAGCATCCGATGTGGGTATTTTTATTTTGGATTCCTTACACTTGATGATGAATTGATAACAATGTATTATGTCACATTTTATAATTTTACTATTTCAATATTATTATACCACACATTCACCAGGATCTTCAAATAAGAATTCACTAATTTAAATTAACATACAATATATACTATTAGGAATAAAAAAAACTACCACCTTAATAATATAATAATATAATAATATAATAATAAAATATATGGTCCAGTTATTAATTGTCCACGTGTTCATCCAAGATAGATTTGCCGTGGAGACGTGATTTCGTGAGCTGCGCCTCTTTGACGAGTCCGTGCATCCTAGCCTCCACGTACTCTTCATACTTCATCGGAAGGTAAATTGCACGGCCGTCCTTCCGCACAAGCGCCGCCGCAGGTCCGACGACGGCATCCCCCGCCGGACCATTGGCCACGACGATCGAGATCCTCTCTCTCTTGTCATTCACAACCGCCCTGTGCCTCACACTCTTGCACCTCCCGTTGGTGAAAATCTGACCAATCAGTTATAATTATAATAAGGCTGCGGCTATATGCAAGACTAATTCCACTTGTGCAAGACCAAATTAAAATTTTAAATGTATAAATACTATAATACCCTTATTTATTAAAAAAATAAAAAATTCCAAATATACAAGACCAAAAATTCAAAAACACAAAAAACCCTATCACAAGACCATAAAATAACAAGACCAACTCTCATCTTCTCCATCTTCCAAAATCCACAAGACATTTCTCCTTCCTCCTCCATTAACCCACAAAACCTAGAAATTCAAAATCATCAAAACTCAACAAATCTTACAAAGATGGCAAGTATGGAGTCAGAAGACATCAAAATAGAAGATTTTACGATGGAAGAACCCAAGAATGTATGCATTTATGGATTTTTTAGCTAGAATATCGATTTTCCAAAAAAAATCCCGCGCAAACGAATTCGACATGTACAGGTCGAATTTTACAGGTAAAAATCGACATTTAGATGTCGATTTTGAGGTATAAAATTCGACATTTGAATTTGTGCTATAAATTCGACATGTCAATGTCGATTTTTACCTATGAAATTCGACGCTTAAGTGTCGATTTGTAGCATAGTTTTTCGACACCTTGGTGTCGATTTTTGTTTTTTTTTCATTATCTGTATTTGGTGTTACATGAGGAAAAAAAAGCCAATTTAATTTATGGGCATACTTGTCATTCCATCTTAATAAAATAGAATCTTTTAGAATCTTTCTTTAATTTGATCTTGCACAAGTGGAATGAGTATTGCATATAGCCGCAGCCTTATAATAAATTAATAACATTATTTTAACAGGGGGGAACAGCATTAAAACGACGTCGTATTGTCTGACCTGAAGCTGCTCAGCGGCGTTGACCAAAATAGAACCAGGCGGAGAATCGGCGTTGAACCACTGGCCACCGTGTTCGATTTGCAGGCCGGCGACGCCGTTGTGTATGAGGAAGGTGAACAGGCCGGGATCGGTGTGCGGCGGGATTCCGATGGCCTGATCCGGCTGCGGGCACGGCGGATACAAATTGGCGGCGAATAGTTGAAAACTGGAATCGAGATTCAGAACTTGATCCACGTAGTGTTGTTCTAAATCAAGGCTCTCCGAAACGGATTCCACTAGTTTTCTGGCCAGCTTTCTGGTTCTTTCTGTGTATTCCAGCACAACTTCTCTGCAAATATATTAATTTATGAGTATTAATTTTTTTTTTTTAAATCTATATTTTGAGTTTAATTTGATTATTTACATATCATTATAGAGAAAATCATGTCTTAATTTGTTGGAATAAAGATCATAGACATCGAAAATTTGAGATAAATTACTAATGAATAATCAAAATCAACCGGCTATTAATTAGGTATCAAATTTAAAATATCTGGGTCATACTGCAAATCAAGAAACCCTAACTTGTGCCTACAAAAGAGGTGTTTATACTTATTTGATTCAAGAACAAGCTTTTTATAAGTCCTTAAATCGATCGATTTTAGAATGGAAGAGAAGAATCAGGAAAATTTTGCGGAGATTGTAACTCGTTTTCGTTCGATTACCTCAAGAGTTGGGGTTTGTTGGGGCAGTGAAAATAAGGGTGCACATAGAGGTTAAGGTAATCCCTCCATAAGGTAAAATTCTGATTTGAATTATTTGTCACATTGAAATTTCCACACTTTATTGGATCTGAAGCACTCTTTGCTTCATATTTCTTCTTTTCATGATCTGGCAGAGAGAAAAATTCCCTGGCTGTAGTAACTGTTGCACTCATCAGCTCCTCAGGTATCCCATGATTCACAAGCTACAAACACATGGAAAAAAAAACAATTATAGTTTAATTTCATAAAAAAAAAATTGATATTTTTTTTTTGTTTTGTAGTTAATTAATAGTGATCTTACAATGAAGAAGCCCCATTCTTGACATGCTTTGGAGAGAGAGTGGATGGATTTGGAGCGTTGATCAGGATCGGAAGAGGTAAGGGCGGAGAAATCGACGATGGGGATTGAATCGGACCTTAGAGCTGTGGGCTCGTTTGTGAAGTTGAATTTCGAAGGGACGACGGCTTTTAGATCGTCGGAAGAATTTGCCAATGTTTTTTTTTTGAGGGAAAGGTGATAAATAAATTAGGCTAAATGCCTTAAGTCAGAGGGAATGGTTTGCCAATGTTTTATCAGACTCAAATGGCTGAAAAGAAGATGCAATTGATGCCATTTTATTATTCTTTAAGTGTGTGAGTGTGTGTGTGTGTTTCTTTTGAAAGAAAATGAGATAATTACAATATAATCATATGTGATATTTTCCTGTGCTGTTAATTGTTATGGTATGATGACTTAAATAGAGGAAGTTGTGTGTGTGTGTGTTTTACACATGAATGTTTTTATATCCTATTTGTTTTTTAGTTTTACTTGGTTTATATATATTATTAATTTCCTTTCAACTACTCCTTTACTATTAAGAAAAATATATATATAATTTAAAAAAAATTAACGCATTATTGAAATCATAATATTATTTTTTTCCCTCAAAAATGATCGATCAGGATTCTGGTCATCAGGAAAGGGGAAGTGTGTGTGTATATATATATATATATATATATATATATATATATATATATATATATATATATATATATATATATATATATATATAGAATAAAAAGCAGTTTGCCCCCTAAACTATGGGCCGATTTGCACTTTACACCCCAAACAAAAAGAATTTGCACGTTTTTACCTGAACTTGTTATTTCGTTGCACGGTGCCCCCTAAACTCAATTTTCCGGCAATTTTGACCGGAATATTAAAACATGGGGTTTGCAGGTGAGATTTTGAGGGGTAAATTCGTCCCTTCTCATGCATCTTTCATATTCAATACAAATAAATATTAAAAAAAATAGAAAAAAAAATAGAAAAAGAATAAATAAATAAAGGAAAAAGAAGTTGTTCGTCTCGTTCAAGCTTTTCCTCCAAACCCATCAATGGCGGCCGCCAAAGAACAGAAGCGCAGCCTGCATATAGTAATGTTTCCATGGCTAGCTTTCGGACACATAATCCCATACCTCGAACTCTCCAAACTCATTGCTCTAAAGGGCCACAAAATCTCCTTCATTTCAACCCCAAGAAACATCGACCGCCTCCCCAAATTGCCTCCAATTTTCGCTTCCTCCATTAATTTCATCAGAATCCCACTCCATTAATTTCCTTCATTTCCCAATGGGCTCCTCACGCCGGCATCAATACCCTCACCGCCGGTGAATTCCTCCACTAATACTCCTCACGCCGGTGAAATCCCTGCTGCAAATTCACCCCAATTTCATCCAATTGATAAATCTTGAAAACTTATATTCGGATGTTGAAGGTGGAAAGTGGGTTTCAACTAAGGAAGCATTTCTTCTCCAGTTGAGAATGCCTACTGACTCTACGAAGACGATGATAATTTCCCTTCTCCTTTTTTTGTTTTATCTTTTTTTTTTTTAATGATTTATTTATATTTAATATATAGCAGTTAAGTGGATTGACGAATTTACCCCCGTAAATCTCACGTGCAAACATGTTTTAATATTCCGGTCAAAATTGCCGGAAAATTGAGTTTATGGGGCACCGTGCAACGAAATAACAAGTTCAGGTAAAAACGTGCAAAATATTTTTTTTGTTTGGGGTGTAAAGTGCAAATCGGCCCATAGTTTAGGGGTTTACTCATATTTATATACATATCATCGAACGTAGGGTCTTCTCAATTTATTAGGGAAAACGATGCAATATCTAACTACCCAAATTTTCTATGAATAAGTCAAAAAAATTCGGACGAATAAATGACCCATAAATGAATTTTATGACTGTACCCAAATTTAATGATTTTTTGACCGATTCAATTTTAACAAGGGTCCATTTGATATACACCTCTATCATGGAAAATATATAGGGATAGGTCCATCCCTAAAATTCTTCTTTTGAGATACCCTTAAAGAGGTAAAAATACTATTGTGCCCTTAAGTGCATTTTCGCCCAACTGCATTTATTATTTCGCCCTGCATTTAGCATAATGCCAAATGATTGAATTATTGAAATCATAATATTGATTTTTTCCCTAAAAAAATGATTGATTCATCAGGAAAGGGGAAGTGTATATATATATATATATATATGAGCTAATTGCAAATACCACCCCTGTGTAATCTCTAATTGTTAAATACCCCCTGTGGAAAAAAAACTCACTAACTCCCCCCTATGTTAACAAAGTCAAGGCATCCGGACCCCTGGAGGCAAATCGTGTCTCTCACTCGCGGATTGTGCGAATTTTTATTCTATTTTCAGGGTGAAATGACATAAATAGCCTTCTTTATAAAAGGAAAAAAACCAAATTGGTTTAATTTAAATAATCTAACTTCATAGGACTAAATTGTAATTTTCAAAATTACAAAATAATAATAATAATAAACCATTGAAAAAAAAGGAGAGACTGCACATCTTCTTCCTCGTTTCCGTCGGCCCACCTCCAACAAGTTCAGCATCGCCGCTCGTCTCGCACCACCACCTTCCCCCGCCTCCTTCAAATTCGTTCCCACTACACCGCCTTCCACCCACTTCTTCAAATTTGTTCCGACTACAACGCCACCGTCTCGCACCACCGATGCCCAGCCACTATTAAATTCTCTCCCTCGACACCGCCGCCGGTCTGGCACCACCCATTTCTTAGTGATAGAGATAGTTGTGTATAATTGAAGAATTGTAAAAGTTACTTGTGACGAGATTTGTATGTAGGGAGACCGAGACGAGATCGAGAATCTCTCCGTCGCCGAAATATAGATCCGCCGCCGCTGTTTATATATGTTTCTTTTTGTTGTGTGTTTATGGCTACCATTTTTACTATTGCTGTGGTGGTAGATCTGGAAAAGATGGTTATGGTGCCGGTGGTAGTAGTGTAGCAGAACAGCAACAGCAGGTTGAGACGGGCAGGTGGGTGGGTGGGCTCGAGAAGAAGAACTTTTTTTTTTGTTTATTATATTTTTTTTTAATAATTATTATTATTTAATAAAATGTAACATACATAATTACAAAGAATATAAAATCATTATAGAAAAGGCATATAAGAACTTTTAATATTACAATATATATTTAATTCTTGTTTATATTTTTTTTTATTCAAAATAAATACATAATATTTACAAAATTAAAGTGATTCTAAAATTTGGTATATTGTACTTTATTAATTGCTAAAAGACCCCTTAGGGCATTTTTGTCTATTCACCATTAGTCAAAGCCTAAAATCAAAAAGGGTGCAGTGTGCTTCGAAAATGTTAACACAGGAGGGAGTTAGTGAGTTTTTTTATCACAGGGGATTATTTGACAATTAGAGATTACACAGGGGTGGTATTTGCAATAAGCTCATATATATATATATATATATATATATATTAGGGGTGAGGAAAAAAAATCCGAAAACCGAAAAACCGGACCGAAAACCGAAAAACCGACCCGAAATATGCCGTCCCGAAGCAAGAACCGCATATACGGTTTTTTATTTCCGCCGAACCGAAATTTTCGGTTCACACTCGGTTTTTCAAGTGGTAACCGAGCCGATGTA